CATTTGGGTCCCACGCCATACAGAGAAAGCCCAACTAGGCAGCAATTTGGAAGGCTTAAGTGAGCACATACATTTAATGGGCCAAAAGCCCAATAGGAATTGGGCTAATTAGAATTGGCTTGTGATGAAGGAAGATTTGGCCCGACCTCGTAACCACTCAACACGTGGCAAAGGCAACAGCTCGACGCAACAGCTTGACACAACAGCTCACCAGGGCGCGAGCCCTGAAAGGAGGAACTAGCGGTCCGAACTCCTTGCAAGGAGCCCGAACTCCCAGTACGGAGCTCGAGCTCTCCCTTATGCCCCGAGCCTTATGAACACAAAGGGCAACAACCCGAACTGGCCTGCCCCATGGCAGTTCGGAGCACACCTCTGTCCGAACTCAAGACTTCACCTCGCACACCACTCCAGCACTTTGCCCCCAGGACACCGAACTGAACAAACCATACCTGACACCGAAGGAGTCCGTATCCAGGGGCGACGCACCTGACTGACTTGGGATCTGACGCTTGACAGCTGCATTCCAACGGCCACCTGCCACCGCCACCTGCCACCGCCATCTCCAGTTACAGAGACGGATCCGACAAGGAGCAGTGGCGGTTCTGTCCCAGCAGAGGTGATGACACCCGAACTGGTAGAAGCACAGAAGTAATCATACCCGACCTGACAGAAGCCTCGGAGTGAGTGCGCGAAGTGGTTATAAAAGGCTCTCTACCCCCCGAGGACAAGGTATGTGAACTTTGCGCCATCTGGTTTTATCTTGCCTTTGAGATAATACTAACTTGAGCTTCGGAGTGATCTCACTGGGTTCCTCCCCGGAGATTCCCCACTTTCTTCTCCGTTTCAGGCCCCCCTGTTGCTCTAGTCAGAGGCAAGGTCGTTGATAGCTAGGACCGGCCGGATTGCGCACCATCAGCTTGAATGGGGCAAATCTGAGATGTGGACCAACCTTAAAGGATAAAGGTAAGTCCCTATCCACTCAGTAAGAGTCCATATTTGAATATAATTCAAAATTGGAAACTCCTAATCAAATTAGGAGGTTTGATCATGATCTGCAGATTAGATAAGGACTCTACCTTATCACTTAAAGGGATCAATTTCTCCTAATAGGATTAGGAGCTGATCCCTTTAGGGTTATAAAAGGAGGAGGGGGGCGGCAGCCTCAAAACACACTCACCTGAGATACAAATACAACATAGAAGAGAGAGATCAGCAAACAGTGAAACTGTGCCAATTTCTCTCTACCGCCTCCTTCCTGCCGCCGCTGCCATTAGCAGTTCATCTCCACTCACGTGAGAGTCATCAAGAAGCGTTCTTGGTTTCAGTTCTTTGTGAAAGAATTGAAAAGAAGTTGTGCTCACCTGTCGTCCAGTGGGTTCTTGCGAAGGATCCAGTTCTTGTGAAGAACGTTGCTGTTTTTGCTCCGTCCTACACTGCGCCATCTTTAGTGGGAGATGTCTTTGGTGACTTTTTTGGGCGTGAACACCTTCGTTGGGGGATACTAATTCTCTGTATCAGGTATTTCCCTCTCCTACTGTTTTGTTCAGATCTGGTTCGGTTCTTGATTCAAGGTTGATCATTGAAAATTAATTTTCTAAAATAGGGAATACGATTCTCAGTTGTAAGAAGGAAAGAAATTTTTGAAATTCGCCCATTCTATTCCGCTTTATCCGGGCGTCCATACGATGGATCTTTCTATTCCTTCACAGGTCGTGTCCACGTGTCCCCTCTTTACTAGGTCGGGCCAAATCACCCTTCATCAGCATCGTTTCCTAACACAGGCTTATGGAAGAAAATTAATATGCCCCTAGCCTAATGCCACCAATGCATCACAGTCACCTGAATTTACCCCTCTCCTTCCCTCTTTGCTTCTTTATTTTTTAATGGTGCTGGTGTAGAATCATTGATTTGCCACGTAACTTTTCCATTGACTTCAAACGGTACTTCCTTACTCTCTGCAACTTTGGATGGCCATGGCCTGACAAAATCCGAAGGTGAGAAAATGAGTCGTTGTTTTATTTAGGCTGCGTTTGATTGCGGTGTAAATATTGAACCACTGTTATTTTACATTTTGGTCCAATTTTGTAGTCGTTTGGATGAAGTGTATATAACTAGTGAAAATCAATGTAGAACTCCACATAGTTCGAGTTTTATTTGATAATTGAAGGAAACTTATTTCTGATAGAAACGATGTAAAACTTTAGATCAATAATCACCAGTTTCTATCACTTTTTAAAACTAATCGGTGCAAAACTCCATGGTGGAGATTTACTCCGCTTTCAAATGCAACCTTAGTATCATGTAATTGATTCTAAGTCCACTTTGAATCTGTTATTGGGGGTGGAAAAGAGAGAAACATGATTGGTTCAACGTGCCCAATTACGCGAATTTAAGAAAAAAAGAATGTCAAAAAATGAAAATTTTGCATAAGAGAGCAAGAGTGACACGTGGACTGCTTTGATTTTTATATAGCATAGATTTTGAAATTTTAATTTTGAGTATAGACTAACACGAATACCCTTTCATTAGTGTAGACATAGGGGTGCTCACGGTGGGCCTTTTTTGTGAACCGAACCGGTAGTACCGGTTTTTGGAAAACCGGTAACCAAAACTGAATCAAAACCAGTCGGTTAATCGGTTGACTGGTTCGATTAACCGACGGTTTGGTTCGTCGGTTTTTTGATTTTTTTGACTTTATAATATTTATTATAAAAATATATATAAATATATAATAAAAATTATAAATATATATAATGCATATTTATTAATTAATAATATATAAAATATATATATAATATATACATAAATATATAGAAAATATATAAAAAACATGTATACCGGTCGATTCGGTTAACTGCCGGTTTTTTAAATTGGTTAACCGAAACTGAACCGATACCTTTAGTTTTTTAAAAACATCGAACCAAAACCAAACCGACCGAATTGGTTAACCGATTTTTTGGTTCGGTTTCGATCAATTCGGTTTTTTGGTTTTTTTGCTCACCCCTAGTGGACATAGGCTTCATGGCCGAAGCAAGTAAATCTTATCTCTCCTTTGTTCTTTTATAGTTCTTGTTTATTCTCTTTGCTTTACATAAACACTCAAGGGTAGTATACTGGAGTTCACATCTGCTCCCCACAATACCACACAGGCCACAGCACATCCCCACCTTGTATTGGAAACATCTCCCAGTGATATCTCATCATCTCCCGGTAATATTATCAGTTATGAGGAGATGTTGCCAATACAAGGTGGGGATGTGCTGTAGGGCATTGTGGGGCGCAGATGTGAATTCAGTATGCTGTAACTTTTATTCAGGTTATATTGTCAAATCAATTTGTACGTCGTTATTAACATTGGTAATTTAAGATGCCAAGTATAATTAATCGAGTCTAATCCGGTCAGACCCAATTGTCCTGTTTAATAATTGCCACGGGGACTGGTACACCCTGTCCTGAACCAGACCCAGACCTGATTCATTGATAGCCCTACCTGAAAGTGGCCATCCTCATCACAGAATGGCTTTCTGTCCCTTAAAATATTTTCCATATCTTAGCTCTTAACCTGATCAGCAGGAGCATTTCATGCCTAGAAATGTATTACCATCTCTCTAATTGGGAACTGAAACCTCTGAAAATATCATCAACTGGAACAAATTGAGGGAAGAAAAATACATAAAGTGGATGGGCCCATTCATTCTGAATTACCAAATCCATGCCCATATGGACATTTAGAGAAGGATAACACCTTCTAATATGACCTTCACCTCAGGTTGCAAAGCCTAGATCATAGAAAATGCTCTCATCACATAACATTCCCCCTGGAATCCTGACTCAAGAAATTGGTGTCAACACATACATCTTGCATGAATGAGAAGCCATGGTGGCTGTCAAATTGTCCATAAATCGTGTCTTGAGGGTCTTGTGCTGCAAAACCCAGAGAAATGGAAATTAAATTGCATTCATTGATGTGTATGAGAAGTTAAGATGCAAAAGGGTGGGTAATGTATAAGTACCTTCCAAAGATCTCTTGCCTCTACCACCTTGTTTGGAGAAATACCTATGTCCTTCCAATGAGCAGTAATACGATTATGGCGTAAACCCCGGTTGACTAGTACAACAGCTGTCCTATGGCCTGAAAGAGGTCCAGCCCATACCTAAAGCAATGGAGAGGTAGATCATAGATGCATCAGTTCCTGAGTATTGATTGAAAATTAATCACAGGACTGAATGTTATAGTAAATGATGTTGGTGCACCTCAAGGTCACCCTTCAACCAAACTTTTTTCGCCTGAACACCAAGTGGATCTATTCAGAATTCACTAACCATGATCAGATGACCAAATAGATGCAGATCAAGTTGAGTACTCATAATGAAAATTACTCTAGCTATAAGGGAAGGTACCCTGGTTAACTGCAATAACCTCCTTATTTGAGAGGATTTTCATGGTTTCTTTGGTTGCATTCCTTGCATCACACCCAATAAGAAGGGGAGCCTGCACTAACATTAGCAATAAATAAATGACTCTTAACATATATAAAACAGTCAAAGCAGCAACAGAGAGACACTACTAGGTTGTGCTTTGTTTGACAGAAAATAAGGGAATAAGAAGGGGAGCCTGCATTCCTTACACTACTAGGTTGTGCTTTGTTTGACAGAAAATAAGAGAAACAGAAAGTTGAGGAAAAGTTCTCAAGGAATTTCACAAATTAATTTCATAACTTTTCCTCAACTCTCTCTCTCTCTCTCTCTCTCTGTTTCTCTCTTTATTTTATATCAAACTGAACATATCCCTATAGTATTATTACCTTGGAAATGGCCCAAATGCTGAAGTGAACAATATATTCATGTTTAGTCATCCCTCCATTTCCTATCTCAAGCATGTCTGGATCTGCTCACACACAATAATTAACTGGTTTGTAGGTACAAGGATACCCATGTAGTAGTAATTCTGTGGAGATTAACTAATCAATCATAAAAGTTCCTTTTACCCCAATGAAATCAAAATTTTCCTAAAATTTACATGATTATTTAGCTGCTGTATCGGCTATTTATTGTAGATATTGATAACACTAACCATTCCAACCACCAGGCCTTGCAAAATCAGCATAGACTTCATTCATGTCAGCTCTAGACATCATGCTGTTGCCAGAAAGTATATAATAACCGATTTTTATCAAGATTTTTTCTTTTTTCAATGTGAAGACAAATATGATGATCATATTTAAAACAACTAGTTTTACCTTTCCCAATTATCCATAATATCACCAGTAGTTCTCCAGCTATTTCCTACCTTAGCACCCCATAGAGCTGGGTGTAGCTCCCCCCTATAACAAAAGAAGAAAAGACTGTAAATACAACAGAGGCTAGAAAATAGATATTACATGAAAAATACTGTAATGTCAAAGCAGCCTTGCCATTCACATAGAGAAAAGAAGATTGGGTGGCCTGTCTTCATCAGAGCTCGGCTCATTACAGGGTATCTGTATGAAAATGAAGAGAGACAGAATTAGTAATAGCAGTGGACGAGCACGTGCTATGCACGTCTCTGCAAGTATCAACGATATATGATATATGGTATTTAGATTTAACTTTTATCACCTGCATGAGAACCAAGGCAAGTATCCACTTTATACAGTATAGATTAAGATTACCTAACAGTTGGCTTTGAACCATCATTGTAGCAGTTATCATACTTCAAATAATCAACACCCTGCACAATCAGCAGTTCATAGGATTCATAAATCTTTTTTTTTTGTGGAAAAGGCTTCATATATCAAAAACTTCATTTTCTTCCAATTAAGAGAGACAATAATCAATAAATTCTGAACTTTGAATAGAAGAAAAAAATCTGCAAACTCTTACCCATGAAGCAAAGGTCTTGGCATCTTGTTCTTCATGTCCAAGTGAACCAGGCATTGTTTTGCTACATGTGAAGTACCTTGACCACATTTGGATTTTTATTTTAAATTATGGAAATTAAAAAGAGAAAGACCAGATTAAACTTTCGACGTTTAATACATTTATCATGCTTGTAGTCAGCAGGCATTTTCAAAATTTCTTGATTGATAACTAGAATTAGCTGAAAGAAGTGGAAAGATGGATACTGAGAGCTTCTTATATTGAAACCTTTCTCTTCTCTGTTGAATAGTAAAGATATGTTAAAAAAGTTGCAGACATACCCTGCATCAGAGTAGATTCCTAGCTTAAGCCCCTTGCTGTGAACATAGTCTGCTAGAGATTTAATCCCAGATGGAAATGTTGATTTCTTGGCCACTAGATTTCCCTGAAATTATGAATACCCAATTTCTCATTTAAAAATGCACTGAAAATAATGAGTCAGTAATTTTTAGAACTGCAATTCTAGTTTGAAGATTCTTCTTGTTGTATTTGTCAGTATATTTAGTATTTTTTTGTTAGAAAATTAACAGTAATTTGAAAATAAAATGTTAAAGACTAAATTTTCTGAAGAAAGTAAAAAAAAAAAAAGAGAGTACAGCCTAGAAAATTGAACATTTTAGATACCCTTTCATCATACTAAAGAGTAACTGATAATGTACAAAGCTTGATAAGTAGAAAGGAAATGAAAAGATAATTAAAAGCAAACCTTTCTATCACGAGATAACTCAGCCCAGCAATCATCTAATAAATCAGGAAAATTTAGTCACAATTAAGCATATTAACAAAATTCCACTATGTCGAATCACAGAGAGAGAGAGAGAAAGCATAAAATATACCTATATTGACATACTGATAACCAAGCTTAGCAAGCCCGGTTGACACCAAAGCATCAGCTGTTTAACAGTAAAAGTTGGAGGAACTGTCAACTCAACTATGAGAAATGATAAAAGAAATAAACAAGTTTTATGGACAATCAGCCTAGACTCAAATCAACTTTGGTAATTCACTTCATGTTTATGAGAAGAGCATATCCAGTACTGCCCAATTGGCTAATTCTGTAGTCTATTGTGAAGCTTAAGCCTGTGTACAACTAAACTGGTAATAGGCTCTACAGATCTAGAATCTAGCCCATTAAAGGATCCGATCCAGATCCGGGTATAAGATTATTGACCCATTTCCATCTTTTTTTTTTTTTTTTTTTTTTTTAAGGAACTATATTGAACACTAAACAAAACAGCGAACAAGATAAAGGTCTGTACAAGTCCCAGCCTCCTAACTCAGGAAAAATCCGGACTCTCTTTAGACCTTTTTGAGATAACTGATGGGCTAGTCCATTACAGGAAAGATTCAGCTAGAAATAGTATGTCCTTGCAAAGAAAACAAGCATCTTTAGCCTTCTCTTCATCTCCACTCTTGATAGCCTGGATGTTTGCCAAAACAATTCTCTTTTACCTCAATTTGGAAAGAGTACAAATACAAATTTGTAAAGTGCAAAACCTTGTATTTTGTATGTATTTGCACTGTACATGTTTGTATTTATACTCCTTCCAAACTGAGCATTAAGAACAAATTGGGATTTGGGCAAAACAATGACCACCATTTTTTTGTGGGATGTTGAATCCACCCTTTTTTTTTTCCATATCTCAGTCTTGAGAGGATTCATCCACTTCTATATATTGGGACTTCATGCGCACCTGTTTCTTTGATTGTTTTCTCATCGATCTTGCAATTAAAATGATTCCAACTGTTCCACCTGAACAGAAACAAGATAATGTTAAAGAGGTTAGCTAAAAAAACCAGAAGACAGAAAAATGGATCGTGGATCGGGTTGGGAGCTATCCATTAATCCCAAACAGGCACCAAATTGAAGCATTTCTTAGGCTGTGTTTGGTTGCAGTGCAAATTTATTTGCACTAATACAAATGCATGGGAGTGCAAATGAAAAAAACGCAAATTCTCATTTAATTTTGTTTTGGGTTTTATTTTATTCTGCTCCATGTCTTAATTTACTTTATTTGTACTGCAATCAAACAAAATAAACTAAAATTTGAAACAAAAATAAGTCAGAATTTACACTCAGACCATTTGCACTGTCACAGTTTTGCAACAGTGCAAATTTATTTGCATTGCAACCAAACACAGCCTCAAGGAAAATCTATGCTACCGGAAAGACATGGTACTGAAGAGCTTTGATCAATCAAATCCCCCTTGGATTTTGATAAATACGATCTGATTGGTCACCACTTGAAGCAGATTTAGGGTGCAGAAAGCAGAATTGGTTGAAACTAAGAATTTATATGGTGCCCAAGTTACTCAACAATGGAATTTATATGCCCACAACCCTTTTTCTTATATGAACCAGGCATAGCCCTTCTATCAAAAATATGATGTGCCCACATCACCCATCCAAAATATCAAATCTCTAACTCGTCCATCATGTTAGTGGCTCGAACCAAATTAGCCTTACAAGATTCTGGCAATCACCAATAGGAATTCAGACTTCACACACACACACAGAGCAAATATACTTACCCCATTGGAGGTGTAATGCCGAGTCCATTGGCAAGAAGACTACTCCTAACATCTTCAGATTCTACCTGTAAAAGTCTTGAGGCAATGCAAACAGGAGTGAAGGAACAGAGGAACAAAAGAAGCACAGAAAACAAAAGCAGAAATGAAGAAGAAGCACGGGATCTCTCCATCCTTCCTACTTCTCACAGACAAACCTTTCACCACTCATCCAAAACCCAACAACCAGTATCTATTCTCTCTCTCTCTTTGGTATTGTAGTGGTGGTTGCCCATTGGATTTTATGTAGTAAAGAGACAGAGACAATCAGACAAAGACTACAAGGACAAACAGTCTTACCTGTGGACTTTTGCTGCATGGAGAAATGAGCAGCAATGTCTCTAACAGCACAACTGTGAAGTGGAGTAAAAGACAACAATGCAAAAGTTAAAAAACCAAGCTGTGAAAAATATACAGTTTGTTAATTAAGATTTAAGAAATGATAGCGAGCAACTATACGTACAAGTATTGGGTTCTTCGCGCAACAGACACTATAGGACCCATGAAAAGGCACCAGCAAACAAGGTTCTATTCTATAGGGCGGAGAGATTCAAAGAGTTGCACAAATCGTAGCTTCTGGCATTTTTGATATCTGAACATTTCTTTGCCGTAGACTGTAAATCACACGTTTTTACCGATCAATGATCATACTTCAATGTCGGCACTCGGCAATTCGGCATCCGCGCGGTTGCGGTTGCATTGGCTGTCAACGGCTCGGATCTGGATATTAAGGACCCGGAACCGAAAACAACAGATGCAATAGGTCTGTAATTTTAGACCCACAATCGAATTGATCAGTTCTCAGATATTCGGATCTGATTATAATAAATTTATTGGAAATATTATATATTTAATATAAATATATATATATATATTAATTTATTCAATATTATATATATATGACCGGAATCGGGTTTGAATCAGTTCGGAACTTGATAGAACCAGTCCATGAGTATCAGATATTGAAACCAGAACCACCTTAATCAGTTTGCATCCATCGAATCAGATCGACTCATTGACAGCCCTAGTTGCATAGTACATACCATGCATGTCAACGGGTTGGGCACGACCCAAACCCGATGTATTAGGATTAACAAACCGGTGTAGGAGATCATGAGTATTGGGACTTTGGAGCAGGAAGGGATCCGGATCGGGAGCGGGGGGCTGCCGGGGCTCAGGGAATTTGGCGTGTCTTTTTCGGAAGATCTTATGGTAATTCTGACAGTTAAAATGAATTGAACTTTTACATGAAGATCTTAACAGCCCAAAGTTAGTTTGGCAGATGTATGTTTTTCTGTGTGTTTTCATGCGAGAATAAAATGTAAAAGATAAAAAAAAAACTTTCATTTGAAGTTTCCCGAAATCAGCCCACATAGGCTTTTTGTGTTTTTTCAACACTCCAGCTTTTGACAGCTAGATCTTTTACAAACCAAACGAAAATAGGCCATAAAGCGGTCTACCCGACATGTAAGCAACCGAAAAACCGCACAAAAAGACGCATCAAATGGACCCTAAATTATTAGAGAAACTACTAGTGGCCCCGTGCGGTGCACGGGAAAAAAATAGAGGTTATTTTATATGTTTTAAAAATAAATATGAAATAGGTAACAACTGTTCGTATTTCTCTATGGTTCTATTTATACGAGCCATTAGTGGGGCCCACCTGGTCAGGATACTAGGAGACATTACGTGCCCATTGATGGGCCTAGGTTTATATTTTACATTTCACGTGTTGGGTTGTTTTATATGTTGAGCCCACGGGATGAAGCCATTAATTGTAACAAGTTGTCAGTATGCTGTTAATGCTGTCATTAGTTGCTAAGTTGTTAATCTGTCATTGGTTGTCAAGTTGTTAATTTGTTATTAATTTACTCCCTTCGTGCAAGTTTTCTCACAACCTTTCGATACTGTGCTCTTCCTGTATTCTTTTCTCCCTTCTTCATTGCTCATGAAGACTTAGGTGATGTTTAGCATGGATGGTGATTTTCCAAAAATCGGGGCCATATAGAATCTACATCAGAACTAAAAGAATCAGTGTTTTTTGTTCTTGTTTGGTTATACCGATTTTTACAAAATCAGCTCAAAATTGATTATTAAAATCAGTCCTTTTCTGGGATCACATTTTTAAGTGATTTTCTGATTTTTAACTGATTCCAATTTTTTGAGGATGACATGACATTGAGGCTTAGTTTGGAAGGAGTACAAATACAAATGTGTACAGTACAAATACATATAAAATAATACAAAATACATAGTTTTGCACTCTACATATTTGTATTTGTACTCCTTCCAAACTGAGCCTGAATAATAGCTCTAATACAAAAATAATCGGCCCTTGAAAATCAGTACCAGACAGACTCAAAGCCAATTTCTCAAAAATCAGCTTACTTGGGATAAATGATACCAAATAACAATTTTTGATGATTTTTTAAAAATCACTGATTCCAGAAATCACCAATTTCTAGATAATCCGCAAAGAAAACCCATCATCAATGCCAAACATCACCTTAGTCAACTCTTTTCTTCTCTTCTATTGCGGAAAGACAATGCACCACTGCAGGCTATGGATGATGATCCTTCTAAAATCGGAGGAATGGCAAAGTCAGTTCTCATTGACAAACAAATCAAAGTTATTGGCTTGAAGGAGACGCTCTGTAAAGCTTGGCGACTAAATCCGACTGCTATCCCAAGAATTCGGTTTTAATTCCTTTGTTTCCAAGTTCTCATATAGTTTTGATAGAGATCAAATTTTTCATAAGGGCTAAGGCTGCGTTTGGAAATGATGCAAATAAGTGTGAATGCAAATATGTAGAGTGTAAAACGGTCCATATAAATTGTAAAGTTGGGCTAGCTTTGTACTGACAAATTTACCTTCTTACCAAACAGACTTTTAGCTGTAATGCATGCAAACATGAATTTCAATAAAGCATATGCCTTTTTTAACAAAAGACCACTTAAATGCAAATTTACTTCTTTTTTATTGATGTACTTTTACATCATATTATCAATGTAAATATGCATTGGAAAATGTGTTTTCTGTCATTTGTCAATGCATAAATGTAATGTTACCAAACATAGGAAAAAGTGAACCAGAGTGCAAATTTACCCTGAACCGAGACACTCCATTTGCATCGTTTCCAAATGCAGCCTAAAGGTCCTTGGCTTTATGATAATGATATTATCATTATCTACAAGGTTTTAAAAACCGGACTGCACTAAAACCATTTTGGCCGCCAGTTCTCAAGTCGAATGATCCAACCGTCTGGTTTGAACATAGGTCCGTTCTGATTTGAAACAAATAAAAAATTCAAAAAATAATTAAAATAAAAAACGACCAAAAATCATTGTCTGGATCAATGGTTCAGCGGTTCACCACCCAGATCAACAGGTCGATGACAAAATCAATGGTTTTTTTTTTGCCCAGGAATAGTTTTAGGGTGAAAAGAAACCGATTGCCTTACTGGTTCCTAGGTCAACTAATCCGACTGTCTGGTCCAATCCGGTTTTCAAAACCAATTCTCTATAAAGGCGTCCTAGACCTTTCCCCTAACTCTTGTGTGATGGATCGTCTATATATGGATTCACCTCCGTGGTTTTTCTTTAAATTATCTTAATGTATCATCTATTACTAAGGTGGCTCAATGGATTCACCTCACCCATATGAGCCTTCACCTAATGAAGTTAAGAAATGGGCTCGTTTTGCCAGAATTAGAATATCAGTTAATGTTAGGGAACCTGATGCAGTAGGGCTGGAACAAACTATCACAAGACAAAAAGAGAGAGAGGAGGAAGGGTAAAGAAAGAGAAAAGAGAAAGAAATCCCAAGGAATCACTCCAATGGATCCTAGAATCACTCTAAGGTTTGTAGCAATCACTCCATATAGAAAAAGAGCTCTAAAGAAATCTTCATTCATTCATTAGCTTCAGAAGGAAGAGAATACGTCTATTTATAGAGCGACTTGTGTGGCTCAGAATACTGTTCACCATAATTATAAAAATGCCTCTCTTTATTTTGTGCATCAAGAAACACAATAACTTTCTATTTATTAATGCAAATATACTGAAAATTGAAAGATAACCCCTACTAAACTAGAGGAGATGTTATAGCCCAGGCCCACATAGGACTAGTTGAAATAACAAAAATACCCCTAGCCAGCTCAGTCCTAGCCTTAAGAGTCTTCCCCATGCCAAACCAGAACCTGTTTGTTGGCCTACTTCTTGCGAGAATAGATCTTATAATGCCTGGATCGATCCCCATCAGAACCACTGTGGGGTGTGGTTCCCTTTCAACTTCTTTCGGGGAAAATTATTCCTATACGAGTTCAATATGAGCACTGGCTCGTTTTTGTTGCTTTTGTGGTCTTTTGGGTCATTGGGTCATGATGATTGTCAAACATTATCGGGTAAAGCAAAGCCTTAACAACTCCTACACGACCATATCACACATGATATACGAGTATCATCTTCTGTTCGAGGGCAGAGACTGTCAACACCATTGGATATCAATGGAGGTGCTCAACGGAGTGTTTCTTTATCCAAACAACAGCCGATATTAATGGAAGATATAGCACCGGCAAACCACGGTGATGGTTAGCACAATGGCTGTAGTGGAAGTATCTCCACAGCATGGAGATTCATCTGTCAACTCAAATCAACTACATATGCTGACACTATAATAAAAACAGTCTGTACCGGCGGTTTAGAGCCGGTGGTCTTAATGACCGCCGCTAGAGTGATAAAAAGACCACCACCTACATCAGTTTTAAAAGCTGACGGTCTATAATAATATATTCGATACATTTTACATTGGACTTTCTCCCACGCAAATGTTCGACAAGACAAAAGGTTCTCTGAATAGAGAACCCTTGTAGACAAATTTTGAAGACGATAAGATTTTTTTTTTTTTTTTTCACGAGCAAGAAAAAATTTGGAGAAGACGACAACCATTGTTCATGTAGAAGTTGGGAAGGAAATGTAGGGTTAGGGTTACAAGAAGGTAGCAAACATTCTTCGTTCTTCGTTTGTGTATGAAGCTCTTGAGAAGGTTAAAGGCGGTAAGAACTTAAAGTCTAATCCTCAGTGGTAAACATTGCAACAAAGAGAAAAACAAGAGGAGGAAAAACTTTCGGCTTGTGCTATTTCTGCTCTTTCATCATCATCATTATTTTATTATCATTGTGCCCGTTGCTTTCCTTTTTCTCTTTTTCTGCCAGTTAATT